AATTCGCTGCTACAAGCACTTACATAAAGAAATTAAGGCAAATTCTGATTTACTGCAGTAAATTTTACCTTTATTTTTCCGTCCTGACCACCAGTCGCCAGCATTTCACTGTCTCTGCTGAAAGATACGCAGAGAACAGCATCATCCATCAACATAAAATTATCCTGCAAAAAAGATTTAAGTCAGAGGAGAGAAAATGACAATAAACAACAAGATGGATGAACGATGGCGTTATCTACACGGCTAACAATTTTAATGTTTTATTATTGTGAGTGCTGCAAGTGAAAATTTTGCAGTTGAGTACAAAATAATTTGCAACTGGCAATGGTTGAGCTGTAACATTAAAAAAAAAAGTTTGCTCTGACAGGGGAATCAAAACAAAGACCAGCAATAAGAAATTAAAGGGCAAGAGAATATACATTGTACATAAACAGCCAACATGACAGCCCCATACCTGTGCTTGGTACTTGAGATCTTTCCTGATTTTTCCGGTTGTAAAATTCCACACTTCGGTAAATCCATCAACACTGCCGGTAACTAGATACTGACCATCCATTGAAAACGCTGAACATTCCACGTGAGATTTTTGTCCAAACTACAACAGCAAACATACAGATAAGGTTTGAATTTTTTACAATGCATGACAATTTAGATATGAAATGAGAGCAGAATAATTTCAGTTATATGAAAAAAGAAGAAGCAGCAATGAAGATTATAAAACTTCTAGATTGGAGATTGTAAAGATTGTCTTGGGCAGTCTAGAATGAATGCACTTTCTGAAGGCACTAAGTTATACAATAGAAACATAGCATTGAAAGGCAGTTTTATTAGCCATGGGTATCACGTATCCATGTGTTAACACTATGGGCTCAGCCTGGAGACACCAGAACCAAGGCAAATAAAATACATTTATTAGTCTTGAATACTTATAATCATCTTCAGATGATTGGCACAGCTCATTTTCATGTCATCCCAATTATAAAATGAAATTTGTAATAAACATGCTGAGCATGATTTCAGTTATTGATCATCAATGCCATGTGTTTTTTGTAGCTATCTAAAAACCTTGGAAAGGGCTTTGACTCTAGGAGAGTTGAGTAATACATTGTAAGTAATTTCCCACTGTACCTTGATAGTTTTGCTCAGTTGTGTTGGGTACTTTTCTTCATCTTCATCTTTAACAGCTGCTTTACCACGAAACAAATCAATATTTGTACCAGGAGGCAAGAGACCTTGATGTTGTTGCCATTTCAATGCCTGTCCCAACAGCGCTAATAGACGTGATGGTGGTACCACACTAACCTCACCAGACAGGGCATGTGCAATGGCTGCTCGCCTTCGTTCTTTACTGCTTCCATCAGGGTAGGCCTAGTAACCAAGAATATAATATTGAGAATTACAAGAACAACAGATTCCCTAGACTGTCAACACTCCCTCTGGCCTAATGGTTTTTTTCAACTATAATGATTTAATCAAATGTTGCAATGTGTTCGCGAAATGCTGAAGACATTTCAAGCGAGAGCCGTAAGGCCTGTTATGGGTTGCTATGCTATCACTCGTCACTGCAGCATATCAAGGTGATTGACAGATACCGGTAGAATGACATCATGAAATTACTGACCAATCGCAAGTCACTGGAGAAATGCAGTATTGACTTGCATTGTCTTTGAGGTAAAAAATGAAACAATTTGTAGTTCTGGAAATGGTTTATTAGACAGAGGACAGGAAACATGACACAAGATGATTGAATAAACAAACACATGAATGACATTTAAGGTAGCGAGACTATTATTTGTGTTGAAAATTACGATTTTCACATTTATTTATTAATTGATGAAATGCACCATAAGCTTTCATATGATAAAGTCAATATAACATAGAATGTCATGTAAGTTGGTTAAAATTTAGATTTTCTGAAGGGAAGCAAGGCAGCCTCAGTAGTGTTTTCCAAA